ATATTCTTAAAGTATTTATTGTCGAATTAGATTTGATATGATAAAAGTATTCAACTACAAAAGTAAATCATTTTTACTTTGTAATTTATTAAATTTTAACTCCATTTGTGTGTGCTACTACCAGTCTATAATTTTTTTGTAACATGTTGCTATATAAATCATACATTTTAAAAAAATATGATTTTTAGTTTCACCTGAGTTTAATGATGGATTATTGCAATTATAATCAAATTTTATAATACACTCAATTGAGTAATCTTTTTGACAACTTTTTTATTATTATTATTTTTTGATATATAATCATTAAAATTAATTAAATTCTGAATATTTCCATTGTAGAATCTTTTTAAACATTAAAAGTTAATTTGAAATGATTACTATAATTTTTATTTAAGTGATCTATTATGATAAAAATGTAAATAATATTGAGGTTTTCTGATAAATTTTCCTTAATTAGATATTATGAAATTCGCTGACCCCATATTATTCTTAACAATTCCATTTTTACTATTTAATGATGTCAATTTTAAACATGCAAATTGAGCTAAAATTTATGGTAATAAATTCATTTTTTAGCTTCGATGCGAAGCGGAGAAGGTATTAATTTTACTATGATGTCTTTTTTTTTTTTTTTTTTTTTTTTTTCTGTTGCCCCTTTTTTTTTATGTATACATTTGATTAATAAAAACACAACAATTTATCATAAACTTAATTAGTCGAGAAATAAAAAAATATTTTGAGAATTTTATATTTGGTATATTTTGTTCAATTTATTCATCTTGAAGAATTAGCTTCATTGCTAAGTTAAAAAGGTATAATGGTTTTGTAATGATATGTGTTTTTTTATGCCTGTTTTTAAAAATTCTCAGCTCTTATTNAAATCGCTAATTTTCGAAATTTTTTCACTTTTTTTTCTTAAAACTTCCATTACTTTTTGAAAAATCAACAAATCAACATAATTTTTTTTTATACTAAAACCTTAGATGTCTACCTTTCATTTGATATCATTTTTTTTGAAAATCTATCACTTAACCTGCTCATTGGGGGGGATTTAAAATGGCAACTTTTTTACAAAAATGAACATTTTCAACTTAATTTTTGAAAATGTTCCGGAAATACTGCGTCCTTTAAACATATATCAAATTAAAGTTTATTTTATGTACTATAAAATAAAAAAAAAAAATTTGTCCCGACACTTTTTTTTCTACATTTAAACGGCTACTGTAGTTAAAAAAACACTATTTTTGTGTTAAAATTTTCGATTTTCGATTTTAAATTTTCAACTTAAAAATGCTATAACTTTTTGAAAAATGTATATATCAGCACACATTTTTTTTTTCTAAATACTTTATAAGTATATCTTTCATTTGACATACTTTTTATTAAAATTAGACAATTTGCCCTTATATAGGGGGCGTTCAAAACTTAAAATATTGTAAAAAACATAGATCTTTTTCAATTGAACTTTTGAAAATGTTCCGGAAATACTGCGTCCTTTAAACATATATCAAATCAAAGGTTATGTTATATACTATCAAATGAAAAAAAAAAATTTGTCCCGACATCTTATCTTCTATGTGCAAATGGCTGTCGAAAATTTAAAAAAAAATGTAATGTTTGCGATAAAAATTACATTTTATCGGGATGTTTTTTGTACTTAAAACTGCCATAACTTTTTCAAAAATGAACAAATAAAAATAATATTTTTTTGTATTGAAACCTTAGATATTTCCCTTTCATTTGATATAATTTTTTTTGAAAATCTAACACTTATTCTGCTCATTGAGGGGATATAAAATAGTAACTTTTTTACAAAAAATAACTTTTTCAACTTAATTTTTGAAAATGTTCCGGAAATACTGCGTCCTTTAAACATATATAAAATTAAAGCTTATTTTATGTACTACAAAATGAAAAAAAAAAATTTGTCCCGACGACCTATCTTCTATACGCAAATAGCTACCATATTCAAAAATATACTATTTTTGTATGATAATTATGGGTTTTGTATTTTATTTTAATAGAAGTTAATGTTGATTTTACAATTATCCATCAATTTTTTTAAATTAAACAGTATCTACAGATTTGCATCGAAGCGTTTCTTATGATAGTGATTTTAATCACTGTCAGATTAAATCTATACTGGACCCTACTATGCAATGTCTCCACTATGCCGCGACCNTTAATTCTATACTGAACCCAACTATGCAATGTCTCCACTATGCCGCTACCCCACTGTGCTACCGTTTTTTTTTATTATAAACTTTCATTTTAAAGGACAAATATAAGTAGGTTAAAAATGATTACTTTTAACATATTAAAAATCAAAATCAATAATAATTTGAAATCAATTAATCAAAAGAATTAGACAATATATAATTAAGTGACCTCACTGTGCTGGGGTTTTATATCTTCGATGCAAAGCTGAGAAGGTATTAATTTTACTATGATTTATTATTTTTTTGTGTGTCTGTGAACGCTCAATCTCAGTTCTTGTTGGACCGATTTTGATGAACAATATGTCAAGAGATCACAATTCATATCTAGTCGAAGACATTATCCTCAAAAATTGAAAAAATCCCCTCGTTTCTCGTAAATGGGGGAAATCAACCAAAAAATTACAAATTTAAAAATCGCTAATTTTTTACATTTTTTTTACTTAAAACTGCCACAACTTTTTTAAAAATGACCAAATCAATATAAATTTTTTTTTATAAATACCTTAGGAATTTACTTATCATTTGTATATTTTTGTCAACAATTGACTCTTTACCAGACCATAGAAAGGATTTTAAAATGGCAACTTTTTTACAAAAAATTAATTTTTTGAATTTAATAAAACTTATGTAATAAACTTTAATTTGAAAAAAAAAATTTATTTCATGGTAAAAATGACTACCGTATGCAAAAATATGCTATTTTTGTGAAAAAAATCTTGATATATTTTACATTTTTTAACTTTATTTTGCTATAACTTTTAAAAAAATGCATAAATCAATTCTATTCTTGAATTTAATGATAAATACTTTATATATACCTCTTTCATTCGACGTAATTTTTAAAATCGGATCATATCTCTTAATACAAGGGGGTCAAAACTTTAAACATGCGTACTGAAACTAGGACATTTTCAATTTAATCTTTGAAAGTGTTCCGGTAATACTGAAACTATTATATATATATATATATATATCTTAAATTAAAGCTTATATAATGTACTTTAATTTGAAAAAAAAACTGACCTCTGGACTTGTCTACGTGGTGAAAATAGATACCGTATTCAAAAATAGCATATTTTTGTGTTAAAATTCTGGGTTTTGTATTTTATTTTATTTTAAAATGCCTTACAATGGGAGTACACAGATTTTCATAAATGTTACATAAATTTGCGACGTAGGGTTGCCGAGTCTGTAACGCTTGTGTCTTACGCGCTTGTGGCAAGGCATTTTTTTTTTAAATACTTTTTAAGTTAGAAAAAATGTTCAACTCATTTCATTATTATTTCATTAAGATTCAATATCTTCAATGAAGATCAAAGATCCCATCACTGTAGTCGCCCATCGTGAGAAGAAGTTTCTTATTCATATTACAATTATTTTACTATATGGTTTTTTTTTTAGACTATAATTTATTTTCTCAGTTATCACTTGATCTACTTTTTTCAACAATGCGTTAAATACGTTACAATTCGTATCTAGTTGAAGATATTACCCTCAAAAATTGAAAAAAAAAATTCTAATTTATCAATAAATTTAACAGTTACTTACCCCATGTTCTCTATATAGACAATTAAAATCATTCACTTCTAATATTTTTAAAGTATTTAATGTCGAATTTGATATGATAAAAGAAATCAACTACAAAAGTAAATAATTTTACTTTGTATAATATTAATTTTTTTACTCTATTTGTGTGTGCTATTACGAGTCTATAATATTCCAATTTTTTTGATAACATATTGCTATATAAATAATTTCTAAAAAAAATGATTGTTAGTTTTTCCTGAATTACAATGGATTTTACAATTATAATGAAAATATATAATACACTCTATTAAGTATATCTTTTTTATAATTTTATAATTTCTATAATTTAAAATTTTACTCAGTTATTAAATACTTGTTAAATTATTTACTTAATTGAAAATCTTTTCTTGCTCTGACGGACAATTCCTCATAGTAGAACAATCGTTAAGACGACGTTTTTTAAATAGTGTAGTACACTACCAAAATTTTATTTTGACATAGGTCACATTTTCCAAAACATTATCAAAAATTGAGTTGAACATTTCTTTTTACATGCATGGATGGTCTTTTTTAAACCTATCCTATTTTTAGAATTTTTAACGGATTTTTAGAAATAGCATACCAAAAGAAAGTTTATCGTCTCTAGTATACTTCATTTGTTTTTAATTAAATAAATAAAAAAAATAATTTAACTTATATTATTTTTGTAATCCAAAAGCCTAAGAATTATTTAAAAAATAAAGTGCAAAATATTTATTGAATCAAAAGTTAAAATTTAATAGAACATGCAATAGCCCTCCGTTTGTATAATATACACATTGAAATTATTAAATGTATACATTTGATGAAAATTTTGAATCCCTCTCTGTGAGCAGCTAAAGGGTCAAATTTATAAAAAAAAATATATGAAATAATAGGTAAAAGCATCATGCATCTATAAAAAAAAATTACATTGATTTGGTCATTTTTAAAAAAAGTCTTAAGTAAAAAAACTTGAAAAAATTTCAAAAATTAGCGATTTTTGTAATTTTTTTGGAGATCTCCCTAATTAAGGGGAACGAGGGAGATTTTTTTTAATTTTTTAGGGCAATGTCTTCGATTAGATACTATTTGTGATCTTTTGACGTATCGTTGAAAGAAATAGGCTCGGTGAAAGCTGAGAAAAAATGGTAATAGACAAAAAAAAAAACACATGGTAAAATTAATACCTTCTCAGCTTCGCATCGAATTAAAACACTAGATATAACGTACCTGTTAAGGATTTCTAACAAAGAATATCTAATATATTTAATAAGATAATATAGAATAAATATTCAGTTTATCGAATAGTAAGTACCTTTTTGTTATTTATGTACCATACAAGTTGCGGTTGAAGTGGTAATGCATGATTTAGCGTACAATTAGCATTGACTATTTCTCCGACAATATATTCGGATTGAAGACCACTTATTTGTGGACTTTCAGGTAGCGCTGTAAAGTAAATTAACAAATAAAATTATTTAGAAATATAAAATAGTTAAAAGCAGAAGTAAAAAAAATACATAAGGCTACTTTAAGTTCAATTTAACTACGGCTTATAACTAACCGACAGTCAACATATCTCTTTCTTGAGCAACAGTTTGAAACGACGGTGCTTCCGCTGATACTTCACATCTATAAGAACCGCTGCTCGACAACTGTAAGGAGTCTAGTACAACTTCATTAGAATTTGATTTATCAATCTAAATCATTAAACAAAATTAAAATTTATCAAGACGTATCGTTAACCGTTATGACTTTGAGTTAGACAACAATGATATTATTTAGCCTAATCATCACGCCGGTTTAAAAATAAAACTAAATACTTCATAAAATATTCTGATTAAAATATTTGATAAAACGAACTTATTTAGCGTCTTTATAATTCAATCAATGTACTTCACTTTTATTAGAAAAAAAAATTGAAATAAATATTATAATTTTTATTAATTATAAAATCTTCAAAAATGTTAAGTGTTATAACGTTTAATTGATTGATTAGATTTTGGAAAAAACATATTGTTTATTCAACCTTTAGATTCCTTTAATTAAAACTTATTCTCTATGTAGCTAAGAATATTGGTTAAAAAACCAAATATACATTTTAAAATTAAGTTGGATTAAAAGTCCAAGTTTGCATTTTTCCAAATGGTAGTTCAATCTTCTCTTAATAATGTAAGAAGTTTATTAACAATATCTATTCGACAACTAAAATAGAAACGTTGATTTGTTACAAGTTTTTTTCCGAGTACTATCGATATCACGATAATAATAGACTATAATATAGTATATATTATATGCTGCACCGTTTATCAAACTTTAAAATCGACCAATATTGTTAAGTATTTATCAAATTTTAATACGAAAAAAAATATTCTCAAGTGAAATAAGACTCTGTACTGTGTTGTCGGCAACATACAACTTTTAAAATAACAAATTTATCAGTTTATATATCTTATACGGATAGTGTGAGATATATTGTTATGTGTATGTATAGTTTGAAACGTACACTGCACATACACTTTGTAATCTATTTGAGTAATTAAAAATAAACATCTATGTTTACTGATCTTTGAACATTCAAGTGTAGCATTCACTTCTTAAGTTATTGTAATTATTATCCAACTACAAAGTGCTCTTTGCGCAGAACGAAATATTGTAGGATGTATTTTCCAAGAACTATCTCAATAAAATTCTGAAGTTATTATTAAAATACAAACTATTCTAAATGCCATTATTCATTTGTAAATGCTATTAATAAAAGTGTTATTAAAAAGCTACTAACCTTTATGTGGGCATAGTATTAAAAACATATTACCATAACTTTATATTTTAATTGTATTCACTTAAGCTGTAGCGAAATTTACTAGAATCGAGGACACTGTTTGCCAAAACAAATTTACAAGGTAAGAAGACCAATATGTTTTCTTGATTTTGCATAGCTTAATATTATGCAAAGTCAAGCAAACATCAAATTACTTAATAGTTTAAACAATTATTAGATTTGTCAAGAATTATTATTTATTTTAAGCTTACTTTATTTTATTATTAAGTGACATAATTTAATATGAAATGAGTCAATTAGTTTTCGCACATATTCTTGCGTCAAAGTTAAGTTATTTGAATATTAAACAGTTTACGTTAATGCTAATGCACGCTTGAGTTTTCTGTCAAATGAGATAAAATGTGAACGCTTCGCTTTTTGTTTAAAATCAATTATATAAATGAATTCGAGATATATGACTTAAGTTATTTTATAGAAAAAGATAGTATTCTGTAAGATAGTTGTATATTTTTTATGACTAGTTTATAGTTTATAGTTTTAAGGTACACGTATTATGTATGCGAAACACAATTAAAATAATAATTAATTATTAATGTAATATAATAGAATACGAAAATACAAATGACATAAATATCCCGAGAAAAATTGCAATATTTCATTAAGTTTCTAAATGAAATAGCTAGTAAAAAAATGTTCGTTATTCAGAAGACGACAAATGATAATGAAGATTCGGATATAAGATTCAACAAGCACCGGATAAAACATACTATACAATATATTGAATAACAAGGTAGTCACCGTCACTAACCCGTTCTTTAGCGGGGTCCATGTTCTAACACAATGACTTCCAACAACGTCTACGATGACAAATTTCTATCAAACTATTAAAGACTGCGATGTTAGACTGTTGGTTTTAAAATTTAAACCATTAATCATTATGTTTGTATTGTAATAACTAGTTACCGAATAGAGATTATACCGGCGCGTTAATAATTCCTCCTACACGATTATGATATGCCAATAAATACTCAACTTTGGCTTTAGTTTACGAGGAGTTTATCGTTTTATAATATCCGCCGGCTTCCGAGTTGATTTCGACACAGTGAATCGCACTCGGAAACAAAATAACTTGACGCAATCGCCGAGTGTTCAGTGACGCTGCTCATATAACTGTATATTAGACGAGTAAAACAATGATACGATACAGTAAATCAGCCGAGAATGTCCGGCCGTGTGCGTGTATAGGACGCGTGTATTTCTAACTGTGATCCTCGAAATTGCACCACAAGGGTTTTATGAGGATATAAAGTCAAATGTAATTACGAAGGAGCAAACCGAATATTGCCACCGACAATTTCCGTTCCAGTTTATTATTCCAATATACTGTCGTCTTTATTTCAGCGTTTTTAATGTGCGTACGATCGCAGCCGTTGTCTCGATAAAAAGCGCCCATACAAATCACGGCGTTTTGCTGTAAACTAGTACACAATACTGCGCGTACCTGAGTCGTACGGGGGGCGGGGGGAACTCGTTATTGTACAGAAAATAACCGAACGAACCTTTTCGATTAACGCGTTCGGCGGAGTAATGTGAAATAATGTGCCGGCACTCCAAGTATCATTGGACGTGCCATCAAACGCGTAGACGTGTCCCTGGGAGGGTAATAACGCAATGTAAATAATGCCGACGTCTCAATAATACACCTCTACACATATTATGCATTTCTTAGCGAACACTAGGCAAATTGTACACACCGAGTGAATTTGTCATCGTCTTGGCTCGCGGATATAACAGCAACAGCATAAGGAGACACGTTTGTGGCGTACGAGGTCATTTTACAGTGTCGTAACAAATGACATACACACACACACTCGATCATATACATAAACCGATGCGGGAAATCGTCCAACGATGATGATGATATTTACATTTACTTCGGACCCCGCCGAATAGGTATAAAAATATTCCGTCTGAATATTTCATTACTACACCACCGAACGGCAACCCTAAGTAATTTGTCGTTTTACCTCATATACGCTAAGCCATTACTGCGCACACACTCACACAAGCACACATTTCATTCCTTGGAGGACTCACCGACAATATATATTCGTATTTCCTAAGCGCGACTACCGTAATAAAATATTTCGGAATTTCATCCAAGAAAGCCGCTCCTAATGCTCTTAAAGTATGGCACGAGGGTAAAATGTTTTTTCACCTGAATTCTGCAGCCTCTAACAATATATACACTGCAATTTCATAGGCATCAATCAGCCGTCGTCTGTTCATCAGGACCGTGTACCTGACTCGGAGTACGAGCAAAAAGCCTTTTGTTTAACAATTTTATATATAATTTTTTGTTCTAATTCAAAGTTTGCACGGTGTTGCAGTGATTTGCAAACAATAACTGCAAATATTCTTCAAATGAACTTATGGAATGTTTATTGTCCGAACGTGCGTTAGGATTTCATCTATCAGGGAAACGATTTAACTCGTCTAAATCTATTATTATTTATAACAAAAGTATAGATATACTAAAACATATTTCCAACAGTAAAGTCTAATAAAAAATATTTTAATTAAGTGTTACTACAATGTTTTTTTTTTATAAAAAAAAAATATATATTTAACAAATTCCAATTTTTTTTCTACCATTTTTAACTACTTCGACAACACTTTTACGGTGGTAACATAATAACACTGTATCTCATTTCAATATTCTATCTTTAATGAAGTGTGAATATTGTATAATAAATCGTTCATTGTAATCGTTGTTAATGAGTACGGGATAATAATAATCCTAAATATCAAATACCAGATAGTCATCCTAAATTACACTGTAGCTAAGTCAACGTCATACCATACTGCTGTACCGAATTTTAATAAAATATCTCGTTTATTGTATAAATTTATATAGTATATTACATAGAAATCTGGACAATTATACGGCAACATAATAAACATACAACAAATGTTACATACACCACAAACTCTTTCAGTACATATACATACGGTTATAATACAACGAGAACAGTTACTTTATTTATCAGTACGGTTTAGTTATTGAACCTATCATATTATGATAGGTTCAATTTTAAATTAAAAAACAGAATAAGTATCATTTGAAACATATACGTAAAAAACATAGTAGATCATCCGTCTAAAGTCAAAAGTTTTCATAAAAGGTCATTAATATAATACAAATGACATTTAATGAAAATACTTACTTCTTCAACTATGCGGAGAATACTTGACAAATAAAAATTCAATATTGCTAAAGTCATTAAATAAACGTCTCGCAGAGAATTGAACAGAAATAGCTAACGAAAGTGAAACTTCTCCTAATACCGTTTGATTTGTTTTAGTTCTTACTTAATAAACGGCCAAACTTAACCTCGCGATGACCAAATATATGTTTAAGCATTAAAATGTAATTATTTAAGATTCTAGGGGAATTGTCATTTTAAAGTTCTACTTAGAGTTGTTAAAAACTGTTTAAAACGTTTAAAATATCCATTAATATTCCCGCTGTAATTTTTTTAATTTTTTGTGTTAAAATACATTTAAAATATTTTTCTAAACAATGTAAATTTAAAACGTAACAACCCTACTTTTACTAGCCTACAGATTAAAATTCAAAACAAAATGTTTTCACGGTGGAATTTATCAAATTTTATTGTTCTTTCAAATAACAGACTTCAGATATTATTTGGTATTTTTAAAATTTTATATTTTATACACGCATTATCTACAGTAATATTTTCTGTACAAAAATTTCCTCGAATTTCACTACTATGCTTAATGATTTTTTTTAATACATCCTAAACAATGCAATTTTTTTATGGTTTGAAAATATAAAATAAAAAAATTTTCTCCTTGTATTTAAGATATTAGACTTAAATTCATGTCTCCAAAGAAATGTATTGCTTGTAGATAATCATTATCTATTTAAATGAAATACGACCACATAAACTGTACAATTCTATAATAAATTAATCTTCATACAAAACAGAAAGTACAATATATTAAAAGCAACAGGTTAGAAACAACCATAATGCTCGTTGAAATCATGTAAATACTTTCATTGTCGAATACAAAAACAAAATTATTCATTTAAAGTATTAATTTAGTATTTTTATATCGCAAAATAAACTATAATTGATTATAAAGAATTTTTCAACTTTAAAATAACTGTATCACATGGTGAAATTTTTTTACATAAAAGAATTAACTAAAAAAAAATGTTTACAGCAATAGATTAATCTAGTTTTTCCATTAAATACCATAATTTATAACCATTAAATAAAAAGTTAGAGAACTCAACGTCAAACTGATGATTAAAGCCAAAAAAATATTGCATGAGTAAAATACTCACACAATATGTGTGGAACGACAAATTATATTTTGAGAAATTTAGCAGGAAAACACAGAGTCATTTAAGCATATTTAATTTTTTTTTAATTTCATCTAATAGAATGCTTTTTTTCTATAAGCATTTAATATTAATGCTTGTAAGGATACCCAAAGTACATTCTGCTAATTAAATTATAAATATTACAAATTAAAAATATTATTTCCAGGGAAAGTATATTATGTATAGTATACATAATATAATATTACATATAAATATATATAAAGTATACATTGTATGCTTTAGTTTATTGTTTTATCTTACTATAATGAATTTTTATTTTTTTATTCAATATCGCCTAGAATGTTTTGTGAATATAAATGAATTTTTAAATCGTTTAGGTAATAATAAATTTGTTATAAAATAAAAAAAAAAATAGGTAATTATTATCCATTATTGTAGTTTATCTTAGTAATTTATTTTTTATTTAAGCTTATAATGTAATATTTTGATTAATTTTAACACTTACTTAATATATTAATAATCATTTAAAGGTGGAATTAATTATATATAGTTTTCTAAATTTTAGGGGGCTAATTTCATATTTAGGAGCTTAGCCCCTTAAGTTTAATTCTGTCTATCACTTGCAATCTCTATGGCATTTTAAAAACTAAATTATAGTTTAAATTAATTAAAGCTTATTGGGGCTAAGTGATCAAGTACAAGAATTTAAAAAAAAAACTATTAATTTTTCCCATAAGAAAATATTGACAACAATGCGCAACTAGACTTATCCCACCAGACGATGAACAAAAAAAGATTAAACAATATTACACAATATATACTATATTTAAATTATAACAAAAAACATTTATTTTTTATATACTCACGTCTATGTGAATTCCCTTTTGTTCAAAAACTTGTATCTCTGGTTTACTTTTTGGAAGATATCTGAAAAATTCATCACCATCTTTGTACCATTTGACAGAATATAAAGTTTCACCTTCCAAATCATAGATGCAAGTCAATGTTGTGCTACTACCCAACAATGTATGGTTGTTAATTCGTACGTCTAACAATTTCAAGCCATCAACCAAACATCCTATAAGCAAAAATCAATTTTATTGGAATTTTCAAGTTTTTAATAGAATAAATTCATTAATTATAATTGTTTAATCTAACCATCCAATTATCAACCAGAAGCCTATAATGTAAGCTGGCGTTTATCAAAATACAAATCAAAATTCATTCTGGTGTATACTAGAAGATAAAAGTGTAGAGGTACCCTGTTGCCTTCGGTACTCTAAAATTTAGTTGGCAATGTAAAAAAAATATCTGTACAACGCAACGTTTACATTAATAATCAAGCACATATAATTTAAATTATACACATAAAATTTATTTGTTTAAGGGATAAACAAAAAAATACCTCTAAGTATACAGAAAATTTAATACAAATATATGTATATGCATTTTCAAGCTTCGGGCACAAGTAAATATGATTATTAAATAATGGAGTAAACTATCAATTAAAATAAATTTTTATACGTTCATTCGTACAAGAAATAAAACACAAGACAGACGTATAAAGAAAATACACATGCCTGTTTTCCTTAAACTTTTGATTAATTTTCAGAGTTCCCTTTATATAATTTTGCTACACAATACTACATTATTTGACTGCAGACCAATTACGCAAGTACGTTTTTGAGTGTACAGTTGGATCTTTTGATGAGAGTTTATTTCTATAGTAAGCTGATGTTCGAGTGTGTTTTCGAAGTTTTATTTGATGTCTTAATTTTGAGCCAATCAACACTCAACAGCTGCCATCTTCAGTTACACGCATCTCATTCATTTGTTGTAAGTGAGTCAAGAGTTAGAATATACACGTAAATAATTGAAATTTTAACAATTATATGTAGACAAACATATTTGCTTATTAATATTACAGCAATTAAAATATTTTAAGTTAAATTTGGTTATCTTAATATTTCTGAATCGAATATAAGGATCATATGTTTTTTCAAATCAAAATAATTTGATCATTAGATGTACACTATAAACAACCTGATAGAGACAAACAAATAAGGACATGTTGTTAAATGTTTCATTAACGAGCAAAGCCCGTGGCAGATATATTTACACTCTGAGGGGATCGTAAACAAAAAATTATGCCTTTCAAATTTTATGATTTAATTATTTTTATTTTATATCCTGTCACTTCTGTTTAGAAACGCCACTATAGTACGTGCAATTGTATGGTTGATAATGAGTTTCAGGTAGTTTTGTTAGTATCCAAAACATGACCACTGATTTAAATGTATCTTACTCTCATTTAATTAGAATATTTAATACCTATTGGTTAAAACTATGTAGGCACAAACGGATTGACGAAAATATTCGGAGCGATATGATGACTAGGAACTTAACCGGTATCCTGATGATCTAACCTACCGCTATACTAAATTTTTAATTTCAGCTTTTTTTCACGTTAAAATAAATTAAATCATAATGATGAAGTAGAACGTTGAATTCATTGATCAAAGGGTTTCGATGTCTTCTCTTTATTTTTATTTAATATGAAAACTATTTGAAATTATTAACCTAATTATTGAAAATTTGTTTGCAAATGAATAAGTGTGAATAACATTGAAATAAAAACACTTTTTGTGTTATCTTTTTTAGAAGAATTTTAGGCAAAAAGTTTGATTGTGTAAAATAATACAAACTAATTTAGTCCTTTTAAGTTTGTATTTGAGTATTTAAAATTAAGTTTGGATTATATCTTGTTCCTTTTTTATGTTCTATAATTGTATTCGCTTGACTAAATAGTTTCTATTTTAAATTACACATATAGGTTTAAAAACGTTGTTTTTAATTTTTTTTTTTTTACTATTCATTATAAATATGTAAAAATAATTTTTTTTTCTAATTGAAAAAATGTGTACTGTACAATTATTTAAAAAATATAAAAACATTAAACATTGAAACTAAATTTTAATACAGTAGAAATTTACCAATAATGAGGGTAAGTGACAATGAAACTATTTGATGCCTCTAATTCTAATAGAACGAGTTATATTATTATATTAAACATAATTTAAAAATAATAATAATACATTTTTCCATGAGTTCTAATTTAAGGTTTTAAATTTATGCTATTTGATGGTAATTTTGCTTTTAAAATGGCTCTGGAATTGTCAGACACCCATTTAAAATAAAAATATGCCAATAACTGTTCATACAAATTCGAATTTTTTAAATAATTAAAGAAAACATAATATATTTAGTATAATTATTCTAATTTCTAATAGATTATTAATATTTTACAACTAGCGTTTATCAACTGAAAAGTCCATTTCTAAAAATTACTATGTCGTAATGAAACCGATAAAGTTCATTACTTCAAAGCTGTGTGAGCGGATACATTTTAATTTATTATACTTCTTTATCTAAAATTAACATTTTTACATTATTATTACTGTCCATAACATTAATGATACAGTGATTAATAAGAAAATCTAATTCTCTTTTTGAAAGGACGCGACTGGCTCATCTAATCACATTTTATAAACTTCCAAAAGTTTCAAAAACTGATTTGATGTATAAAAAATCATTTTTTATATTTATTTTTATATTCATATATTTAATAATAGATATGTATATTAAATATTAAGTATTTCCTTTTTTCATATTGTCATAGCGTACAAATATTTCAAAGCAATACAAATATATGATCAGTATTATAAAACTTTTTAACGTATTCCTGCACCTTAAATTATTAGATATTACTTTAAAAATACACCATTTCACATGAAAATTAAGTAAATCCATTTATAAAACTGATTGTGATTTGTTTTAAATCAAAATTGTAATAATAAAAACTAAACAGTGGTCGATAGCAAGTATAACAAATATTTAGTGAAAATTGATTGTTAATAATATTTAATTTTCCCATAAATTTTGCATTTCATGTATATTTATAGGACGTTTAGAACGTCAATGTTGTGTTTCGAATTTGCCATTGTTTGTTCTGTGTTTCGCTCTTAAAAATTACAAATTACATAAAAACATTGTTTGCACAAGTCCCTGAAAACGTTAAGCGAACATGAGGATTCTCTTGTGATTTTTCCACATGTAATTTAATTGTAAAGTGCTTCACACGTAGATCCAAATACGATTGGATTTTATATTTTCACTAACGCTATAAACTACGTGTATGGAATACTGATAAACTAAAAGTAACGGGAAACAACTAATATTTAGCCATAACCTTTGAGAAGTGGCAAAAATGGTAACTCAATTTTTATTACCCGGCGAATACTTCAAGAAGCAAAAAACGATAAGAAAAAACCACACTTTAATACATGTTTGGGTTCTTAATAAGTAGTCTATTTTTTCGACCAACAAATTAAAAAGGAAAGTTGTGCATTTCTAAAACTATCACTAATGTTTATTTACACCGCGAAGACATTCGGATCAATTAAACTAATAAAAACTAGGAAATGAAAATAACTAATTGGTTAATAAATCGTTAATGTTATGTAAAATTGTTTAACAAAAAAATACAACTTATTAAAGCTAGTATATTATAACTCTTTTAATAAAATATTGCGAACATGTTGTTTTAGCTATTGTCAAAGCTAACAAAATTTTACAATGTTAGTATGTAATTTTATGAGCTCCCTGGAAAACTCTAGGGACTATATCACCTAAAATAATTTGAACGCCATTCACTATTCACAATTTGATACTGACTTTTATTTGAAACATTTCTCATGATCTGAATTCTCTACTTAAATCTCTCTATTCTTTTTTCCCCATTTATTGTTTTTTTTAGATTACTCTAAATTATTATTATTGACAACTATAACACAAATATTGTAGAAACACAATGTAACTACAAAATAAATACAATTTTGTATAGGTATGTATTACAATGGTCTTGTATTTATTTTTCAACATTACTTGAACAAATGACTCACGATGTACGACATTTATTTCAAACCCTTCTCTTTTTATTATTATTAAATTCTAGATTTAATAGATCCTCGTTTATATATTTTATAGCAATATCACAATTTACCCATATACAGCTCAGTTGTATTATGGTATTATAAAAATCGTTTAACAAAATTACATGTACGAATAATTCGTAAAACTTATATTACACTTGCGCGTGTAAAAGAACAAAAGTAATTTTAAAGACTGGATGTAATAGCGTTAAATAATATTAAATTTAACACGAATGATGTGTTAAATTGTTTGAGAATAAGATTCGTTCTTATCGTGCATGTTTATAATTGATATTATTATATGAGTGTTAATTAATTTTGTCACATCTTTTAAATGAAATTTGGCTCATACAGAATTGTACTTCCTAAAACGCAATTTGAATTTATTGTAATATTACTAATAAAACAATAAATATTTTATGTTTATAAAGGTTTTACAGTAACTATGGCGACTAAAACAATAAAAAAATAAATAATGTAATATTAATTTATAATTTTTTGTCCACATATAATTTACAAAATAACGTAATATAAATAAAATTTATTTTAACAGAAACATGAACATTAACAGTAGAAAGTCAATCAAAGCAGACAACAAGAAAAAATTGACTGATACTTTATACTTTCCCATTTCAAAAAAAACCAAAAAAAATAATCCATTGCCGTTAATACAAAATTCACTCTTTGAAAAGAATACAGAAAAAGTAAATTATGAAAATATGAAAACGACAGATAAGTCAGTAGAATCAAAACAACAGAATAAGTACGCTTATAAGAAATATGATGAACAACAATTAGATATTGAAAAAAAACAAAAATTCCAAAATATTCAAGAAGAAATCGTCACTAGTGATAATTACTTGCAAGTACTTTATCGAAGGCTTCTAAAAGAATATCAATCGGATTTAGATGTTGAAAAACTGGCATTGACATTAAATGCGAGTTCCGTTGAAACTTTGGAAAAACGTGTACTCAATGCAATTCAAGTAAAAATTAAAGCAAATATTTCTATCGATATTGACAACAGCATTACTTTTATTCAATATATTTACAGAGTGACCCGTTTATCTGAACTCACTGAAATACTTGTTTAACAAATAAAGTATAAAAAAAAAATTTGTTTTTTTTTTAGATACATATATTTCTTGATTATAGAAGTTCGGACAAAAATTATCTAACGATAAAACTACTCACTTATTCCTTAGTTTTAAAATTTCCATGATTACGAAATATTGGCCCAAAATTCGTTATTAATTCGTCATTTTCTTAAATGAAATATGTACTATATGCTAATTAAATATGTATAGGTTGTCATTAAAAAAAAATGTTAACACTCCAATAAATTATAAGGGATGTTACAAAATAATTACTAACTGTGAAATCATGTAATTAAAAAAACCAAACTTTTTTAGCATATTGTATTTATTTTGCGAATAATTGAGTAGGTTATGATAAATAGATCACTCTGTATATAAATCATTACATTATGTAATTGTGCGAACATTCACTAATTAGCTAATCAACCACTTAGAAAAATAATTATTTTCTAAGCGATTATTTATCGATACTAATGATAAATGATACCTAATGATTCATTAGGTATAATTGATCTTTGAAAAAAAATTTTAAGTCCAAAGGTTTTTTATTTTACTAGTTGAAGGATTTGCTAGAAAAAGGATAAAGGTTTACTTTTGGGACAATTGAAAATATAAATCTTAAGTAAATCTTTTATTTAAAACTAGAAAAACTAATCCTCATGCATTGTTGTCAAGTAATAAAATTATTAACGCCATTGTGGACCTCCCTCTTTTTTGCAACAAACCTTTGAATTTCTTTTGTTTCTTTTAAAGCAATTTAAATAGATAATAAAATTATATAATAGGTAAGTTATAATTAACAAATAATATTTTACTTATGTATTTACGCTCGTTTATAAACCAATAAGATTATGTATAAATTTAGTATAATTTTACATAGACTACGCCTAGTAGTAGGTGAATAACAGTATATTCGAAATTTCAAAAGTGGTAGTCCTAAAATATTATCAGTGATCACTTAAACAAGATTATGATAGATAAGATACCTAATTGTTAATGTGTTCACTCTATAGTTGGTACGAAATTTATAATATTCATCTTCTGTTTATACTTATGAGCTTAAGCATTCTTCATGCATAAACAATACAAGTATACGAGCATAATAGCATTAGTAAAATTTAAAGTACTTAATATAAATTAAAATATTGAAGAATAAAATCTTTACTTTAAAAACGTTTTAATTTTTAACATTGTTATAATTCATTTTTATGAAAATCAAACGTAAAATCTAAAGGAAAATTATAACAAATATGGTAACTTTAAATGAGTTTATACAGGATGATTTTTTTATCATAACCCACTCAATTACTTACAGAATAATAATAATATAAAATTTTTTTTTTATTACTATCTTTAGTTACACATTATTCTTGAATTATTAACTATGTAATACTTTTTAAGTTCATCCCTTATGCCTGGTAAGGGTGTCAACTTTGTTTTTTTAAATGGTAACACATATTTTTAATTTAATAAAATGTTTGAGTTTTTAATTCAATAATAAATGGCATTTGAATTTTTAATAAAACTTAATTTGTTTATTAGATATAAACATTTAAAGTTTCAAATTTTTGAGTTAATATATAGGTATAATACACAAGGGATTACAAATACAGGTAGCTAATTGGTTTTTTATGACATCGATATTAGCAGGTACACAGCATTGTTATTATCAATGATAGTAAGGTACATTGTTGTGAGTTTATAAATACACTAACTGACAATACAAAAAGTATATCTATTGATAGTCATAATTGATAATAAACAATCCGTAACTGTGATAGCAATATCATAAAAAACCAATTAGCTGAATCGATGAAGCAAAATCATTAGATTGATTATTAATAACATGGAATATTAAAGAGAACAAAAATTATTTTTACGCATAGGTATACTTAATAAGTAAGTTAAAAATTCATTACAACTATATTCATAGTTAATGCTATAAATAGCACATAATTCAATAAATTAAACACATCAAAGCGGTTATGTAATTTACTAAAGACTATAAAATAATTTCATTTGTTTTTTTTTTAAGAAATGTTTAGAAGTATTTAAAATTTCTGTATAATATATTTTACTATAAAAATATACATTTTTTAAGGTATCGAAATTAAAAAAATAACCTTTGTAACTTTCTAAAATATCACGGAAAAAAGTGAAAAAGACGACGAAATTGAAGTCCTTGTCTAATAACGTTCCTAAGGTATTAAGGCCAAAATTTATATTTTTACCTCTCCTCATATTGAAAATAGGTCTTGCGTCAACAATAGAAAAAATATTACATACCTTTCTTATTTTCAATAAACTAATTAAATTGTGAAAATTCAATCTTTCTTTGCTATAGTCTTTTATTAGTGTTAAATTAATAATTCAACATTTATATTCTTTACGCTCAAACAAAGTTTCATATCAGTCTAAAAGGGAATTATATCTTAATAACTAATTGTTGGTTACGATTGAGAAGTTTGACAATTCCCAAATTTAACAAGACAGAAGTCATAACTAAATTAAATGACTTCTGTCACATACATAATGCAGACTATTACATTTATGGTTAATAATTATTAATGTCTATTTTAAAACAAGATAATTATTGTGAGATCAATATAAATAACTTATATGAAATTTAGGCGTGTGAGTTTTACTGTTCAATTATATGAGTCCAATTATTACCATCACTTTTTTTTTAGACTAAGAAAATATTTACAGTTAATGGGTATTATCCAATTATTACATCAGAATTTATAAAGAGAGGTTGGATTGAAAAAAGAGACCCGACTTATCGACCGCTGAATTATGAAATCTTTAATAGCGCTTCGAGTAAATAATTTATTCATTAATACACCTAAAGATCAAAGTTTATACAACATTAAAAACTCCCTTAAAAAAATTAATTCGTTAGAAAATAATAGTTATCCATTAGATATAACTATAGTGATTATATATTTATTATTTCAGCTAATAACGTTGTGTACATTACATCACCACCCTTACTAAAGATGGATCCAGTTGAAAAATTGACTTTTGATAAAATTGAAAACATACAAATATGGTCCATAATTAAGGATGCAACACCGAACTACATATTCACTACTAAATGGAGATCAGTGAATTGGAACTCTGTCAACGATAAAACTGTTCTCAGTCAAGTATTGGAATTGAGATTTTGCACTAAAGTATTACACATATAAAATATAGGTAATATTTAAAAAAATTATGAAATATTATTTAATTAAACTTGATGTGTAGCACGGATTGACAAATATTATTGAAAAAATAACAAAACAATACAAAGTTAACTATCCAAGATCTTACAATATAACAGATCGAGAAAAGTTAAACGAATTTATTAAAGACTATAGACTAACAGCGCTTATGAGTTCATTGAAAAGTATATTGGAGATGAGGTTAACAAAAAATCCTAAATTCAACCCTGATGGAACAGTTAGTTATAGATGATACAAATAATATATTTAATACATTTTTACTTGTAAATAATTTAACTAATCATTATAGCTATGATATTAAAATCATTTTTCTCTGTCCGTAATTTTGGTAAAAATGTGTAATAGATTCCATATGAAATGATTGACTTCATTGAACAGCGAAGTTGGGAATTTATAAACGCTCATCGTCTAAACAAAATAAATGAGATCCCGTGGTTAACAGTTGAACAAGAGGGTCGTTGGAAGCAATTTATGATTTGGTACACCAAATTATTGGAAGAAAATGGTACGATACGACTAACGAACTCATTTCAAATAAACGTAAGTGTATATGTAAACCTATTTAACTATATATTTGCGCGAAACGTTGTTCGAATGTTTTTCAGAATACTTATGAGCGGTTCACATATTTGGTCCAGAAACTGAGAACACATACTCTTCAGTTTGACATTGACGGAAGTAGAAACATATGGATAATTAAGCCGTCGTCCAGTTGTTCTGGCTATGACATTAAGTTAGAAAAAAATGTTGATAAAATCTCAAAATTAGCGTTACCTGCTAGTAAAATTCAACACTACACCATTCAAAAGTATATAGGTAAGAAGTGTTGATAAAAATGGTTCCGAGTTAAAATAAATAAATAATTCATTTATTTTTAAAAAATTATATCATCCAATCAAAATAATTTTGATAAGAAATTCCCTACAAAAAATCTACCTGTACGACTAATAACTAAATTTATATTACATATAATGACATAACGATCAAAACATGTAGAAAATCCGTTATTGATATTCAATGTGAAAATCGACTTGAGACAATACTTTTTAGTAACTAATTTCAATCAAAACAAGTTGTGGATGTACAAGTAAATTAAGCAAAATTTCTCAGTAATTATGTATTAAATAAATAATTATATTAACTTCAATCAGGGAAGGATATATACGGTTTTGTTCAAAAGAATATTCAATTACTGATTTGAGTGAAAATATTCACTTAAGTAACGTTCGGATTCAATCCAAGTATAGAAAGTATAGGGCTCAGTTTGTTCCAGAAGAATGCATGTGGAGCTTTGAACAATTTAAACAATACTTAGCTTCAACTAACAATGAAAATAAGTGGGATAATTTAATATACCCGAAAATGTGCGAAACACTTATATCAGTTTTTCAATACTCAAATATGACCGTTAGCAATCGATTTTCATTCCAACTATTGGGAGCTGACTTTGTACTGACAACATCTTTAGAGCCTTGGCTTATTGAAATAAATAGCAATCCAGGATTGAATCCAACCACAAGCATAATTTCAAAAATTGCAACAAGACTATTGAAAGATATCGTGAAAGGTTCATTAATGCAGTATTACAAATGTTTATTTTGCAACTAGAAGTAGGTTTAATATATGTTTTTTATTAGTTACAGTGGACAGAATGGTAAACCCCAATGCTAATACAGGACTTTTTGAAAATATTTTTACTAATTAACATAAAAAAAATTTTAATGGATAAATCAAAAATTTAATTACATTATTGGTCATTATAAAAACAATATGTTTTAGCTTAAAATTAAACCTTTAAAAAATAATAAAATAAACAACATTTTAACGAAACACATGTATGTCATTATAACATAAATAATTATTAAAACTCTATGATATTAAACTACGTTACATTATAATCTGATTAATGTCAATTTAATTAAATAAGCGAAATTACAATCATACTCAAGGTATTCTTTGTAAATTATGCCAACAAGTTAATTACCATATTCAGTTTTAAAATAAGTATATGAACGATAAAACTAAGTTTTAATCAGATTTTAATGAAATTTTATTTCGTATATGTATTACATTTTCAGTAATGTCAAATTGCTACTTTGAAGTACTACGAAACCAATATAATAAAACTAAACGTTAACTCTGTAACAAAAGTATAACTTACAAATTGTAAGTTTGTAATTTGTTCAAAAACTTACAATACTCAACAATTACTTTCATATTCAAAACTTATACAATAATATATTCAAATTTAGACATCTTTATTCTAGTTTAAATTAATTGTATTTTTATAATTACTGAATTTTTTTAATTTAATTAATCTGGAATTAGTCAAGAGAATTTTTACTAGCACAATATTTTATACTTCGTCGTCACTTGTCAGTTAAATAAATAATATCATTTAATTCAGTTTATTCACTTGATTTTGAAAAAAAAATCAGAATTATATTTTATTTTACTCATCTTTGATAATTACTCAGACTTGATTCTATTTAAGTGTTTTGTCATTAAAAAAAAAAAAAAGTGTACAAAAGCTACAATGGAAAATATAACTTTTCATTTAGTTTGCACAGACGATAATTTAATTACATAATACTGAACAGTTATCTATAAGAACATTAAACATTGTTATTATTGGAAGCGACAGGGTTTTTCTTACTTGTGTTCAGCAGACGACGGATTGTTTTAATTTCGTTCCTAATGGCTTTTAAATGGTAAAACCAGAAACTGAAAAACAAATCTCTTAATTTTTTTTATGAACATTGAGAGCTTGATTGCACTTTTCTGGGTTTCAGTTTTATACTAGCCAACACTACTCAATAATTATGAAAAACGAGTAATCAAATTCAACGACTGTAATTTTAGAATTATTTTTCCATTAAGTTTTTCTCAAGATTTTATATATATAAGCTAGCAATCCATTAAGGTTGTTACACGTTCGTCTCTATCCGACTATACGCTATGATATTTATAAAACGAAATTAAAAATAACGAACAATAAAATTGCATTGAAACACAGTAATAATGTTTGTGCATGACGACAGGGAATTATCGGATTCAATTAAACAAACAACAGTGCACAGTGTTTAACAATCAGTGTATACATTATTTAATAATAATTATTTAGTATTTTATCAATAATTGACGTGAATTTCGATTATCTATATTTTAGAGTAAACGTGCAGTAAAACCTACGTAATTTTCATTTAAAAACCAACTTGGTATTGGTTATAAAAAAGTAAACGCACTGAAGACATTCGAAAAATCTAATGAAATCGTGTCTGCTGCAATGACGATGGGAATGGTGCGCACAATACGGCGGTATACACGAAGCAGTTTTATTTAAAACTTTTTCAGAGCTATTCTTTATTCGAAATCTTTGACAGCGTGTCCCTTTGTATTTACGGCCTTTAGGAGTGACTTGGTTGTGATTTTAAGATTTCAAGGATAGCTCAGCGGCGTGTAAATCACAAAAACTTTGTAATCTTCAGCGGATAAATCATCACATCCGTAATCACTTTCATTTCACGCCAACCTAATGTATGGGACTACCTCCACACGCGTCGTTGTTACCTTTAAGTAACGTTAATTATTTCTGAACAAATAAAACATACATAGTGTCCCATGTTCGTTTCATTACCCTCGCCCGTGACGTGCGTTTGGATCCTGATCTCGATGAAATTACAAGATTCGCTAAGGAAATTTGGTTAGATCTCGTTGGAAACCCGATCAGTGAACCGCAACAAAAGAAAAGGATTAAATTACACATGAAACCATCAAAGACATATTTTTATCCAGAGTTTTATTAGTGTGTAGAAATCAGTGAACACGGTGTCCTCGCGAATTGGATTGTAGTCGCATTAGATTTGGTATTTTATTTTTCTCTCGACAATACAAAGAATAAATACACTGCACTCAAAATACGCAGATGATTGGCAAATTGGATATTCTCCATAAAGTTTGCTGACTCTGTTTTTTTAAACCCCGTCCACGTCACCCGGGATATAAAGTTGTACGCATTTGTATATTATACATGTGCCCGTGAGTGCTACTAGGTCCCATACTATCGCGATGCTCAACTCGCCCATACTATATTTCTATAATATTATTTTTCAACGCAGACAATGGCGTTTTTTATCCGACACATACACGCGAAAGAGCCACTGCGCGTTTGAAAGTAGACACGGTTAGAGGAGATTATACGGTGATCCATCGGCTCTGGTACCTACACAACTCGCGTACAGCACCAGTACAGGTATAATGATATTATACACAGTGCACAACACGAGTGTACGTTATATATTATTCTCTATACACACACCAAACACTCAATCAGAGAAATAAAGCCAGTCGGCAGATGCATCCCATCAAATTATACATACAAATGTATATTGACGTAGACGAAGTGAGGTTTACAAAAAATTAAAGCTACAGTAATTTAGGGAACATGGATTATTATTTTACAGAAAAAAATCATGTACCGCATAGGTTTATACATCGCTTTAGTAAAAATACTTAAAAAACGACATTTTATTCATGAAAACAAAATAAAACAAGAAATATAAATGTTTCTAAAAATCAAATCGTATAATCCATAACGGTTTTAATGACTGTTATATTTTAGAGTAGAAAAAATATTTTAGTTGTTGTTTTATTAAATAAAAACAAATCAAGAGATCATAAATATTAACTATTCGATACATATTAATTGTAATAGTAAAAATAGTATTAAAGTGAAGATGATCGGAATAGATGCGTAAACAAAAAAATTTAATTGTATTTCACAAATCCTTATTGTCCATATTCAGTTTAGTTTAGCCGGTTTTATTAAATATGTGATCGATGTACCAACATTGAAAGCAATAAATTATCGATTACTTTTAAACGGTGAGTATTTTCATATTATACTATACTTTTATATTTTATACTAATTTATACTTTTCTTTACATAAAACATACTTTTTGAATTATTTTAATATTCCATACAATATTGTAATATACACGTTTTTTGAGGAGTTGTATCACGGTGATTCTTTTAACGCTAACCACTCAATTTCTCTTAAAATAATAATGTTAAGAAAATTATTTTTGTAATTTTTTAGCTTCATAAACTTTTTATTTATTTTTCAGTTATTAATTAATTTTTATTCATCTCTAATACCTTGTAAGGGTGTCAACTTTTTTTTTAATGTCAATATATATATATATTTACCTTACTAAAAAATACCAAAAGTAATTGTATTAAGATGATTATTATTTTAAGAGAAATCAAGGGGCTAGTATTAAAAAAATCACCCTGCATTAATAAAAAGTAAAAATATCTTTATATTAGTACAAAATCAAATTACAAGCTGGCATTTAAGTTTTAAAAGAGGTATAAGCAAAGAAAATTACTTCCACCCTAATTCATTACTCTTATAGAAAATAAAACCTTTACCCAATTTTCCTGGCTATAACTAAATAAATAATAAAATGATGCATTACAAAACAATAAAATCCGTTTTATACACACACTTGACATTTAATTAAAAAAATTGAACCTGCAAATATAACAATTAAAAAACGCCTTTAAACTTTTATAATATTCAAACCACGGCATAAAATTTAAGAAAAAGTTTAAATGGGAAGAAAAATGTATAATGCATCAGTTGAAAATTAAAAATATAAAATTAATATTTTTTCAATTACTAATCTATTTATAGAATATAAATAAGTTATAAGATTAACATTTCCACTGAATTATTATAAAATATTAAATTTTAATAAGTAATTATTTTGTTGTAAAATATAAAATAATTTTTTGTACACTTGAAGAATCAGGAATATTATCTTAAAATACAAGATAACTCAGTGATTTCTAAAAAATATATAAACATGATATAATATAATAATATATAACTTCAAGTACTTAGATATAAAGACGTAGTTACATACAATATACAATCATCACTTTATGTTAATGTAATAGTAATATGTTAAACATAATTGTCAAACAAAAATAACCGTTAATTGTGCTATACATATTTCAAATAATTTAGTAAGAGTTAAATTAATGTGTCGAATTAATCAATTTGAAATTGTAGCCAATTATGATTGATGTAATAATTAATTTATATTAATGAGTATTTTTTTTTTTTAATTGCTAGAATTAAATTTAAACTTAGATTGTAAAACTTGTCAAATGAGGAAATCATCCAACTCTACAGAGAGTTCGAATTGGTTCGTTGTGAGCCTTGTGTAATAAATGATAGCAAACCAACGATAACACATAAAAGTTTGACGTTTTATGCTCAAGTTTAACTACAGACTTTCCTATGCTATTTAGCGAACTGCGTTAACGAATTATAATCTACGATATACTCCAACATCCTCTCTTGTATCATGTTATTATTCGAGACCACACTATAGTTTATCTTCCTATATATAATAAAAAGTTTTGTATTTGTTTAGCACTCTCGCGTGCATGTCTACCTTAAACACCTGTTTTACAACTTCCCATTCAGTTTCGCTCCATCTCAACACATTTCTTTCCTTTTTCCCAATTCTTCTTTTTACATTACCATTAGACTTTACAACACGTATGTCGAGAACTATACGTTGCCTTCCTCGAG